CTCCAGCTGGCTGGAGGATTCTGGGAGTTGAGGTCCACGCATCTTAAAGTTGCCAAGGTTGAGAAACACTGATCTAGGTTATAGTAACAGAATCTTGAAAGCCTGACTATGTTTTTCCTTCTCTCCCGCTTATCCCCCCAAGGAATTAGGGTGGAGCCAGTCTGAGTTTCTTCCTAATGTTTTCTTGGTTTCCCAGGATTAAAGCATATTTTTATACATGTTGTTGCAACCGCCTCTGCTTAGTTCCTCCAAGGTCACCTCTGCAGCTCTCTGCGCATCTGCTGAAGTCTTTGCTCCTTCCCTGTGATTGGACTACAAAAATTGAGATGAACACTGTGTCCGCAAATAGGGTGCCCACCTCGGCTCTGAATCATGTATGGCGTCCTCCCAATGAAGCGAGAAGAGAAACAGGAATGTAGACGATGCTGGTTTTTCCATGCTGCTTTGAATGGCCCATCAACCCAGGCAAACTAAGAACCCTTAGGGTTACTCACTTGTTATGTTCTTCTCCAAAGTCCAATAACGATACCAAGAATGTTGTATAAATATATGGATGATCACTATAAAATTCATTTTTTAAAAAAGAGGAAATAGTACATGTTGTAGGCTGTTTTAATGTTACGTATGTGTGTGCACGTACACATAAAATCTAGCCAGTACAAAAGGCAGGTCAAAAGGAATTAACAGGGTTAGCAAATATTATTTCACAGAATAAGAGAGAATGTTGCATTTCAGAGCACTCAGATCATGGTGGAGAGATTATTCAGTGATGATGCATCACTGTCAAGGCGCTACAATGTTGGGGTTTTAGTCACTCTAATGGAAACTCACGAGTCTGACAGGAGAAGATTCTGTACAGCTCTTATTTCAAAGCTGCAGGCACGCACATGTTAATAGTTTTAAAAGAAAAATATTTGCACACTAAGTTACCATCAATATGTTACTTGAGGCCAATATAAATATTTATAGTCCTGTTAGGACTACGGCTTTCAGAATGCCTGACCAAGCATTGGCTTGGTGACGTATGCATGAAAACAGAGCATCTTGTTTGGGAAATGCTGATGTGAATGTTCACCACCACCAGAGGGAAATTGAAAAAATAGAAAAGAATGCCACATCTAACACTCCGCTGGGTCATGGATCTGTTGCTGGACAATCGTAGGACAAGGTGAAAACCTTAATAGTCGCTTCAGGAGTTGTGTGCCTATCAGTTGAGAAGTGAATCCAGAACACCCAAAAGGAAAAGCTGAACATTTTGTGCACATTTCAGAAATGCAGAAGTGTATAATGCAACTGCAAAGAAAGACAGGGAAGCTGAACTCAGGGGAAGTTTCCATAACCTGAAGAATTATACAAATATTATACATATTTGAAAGTTTCAAAGTAATTCAGCTCCTTCCTCAACTAGTGTCCTTCAGAGATAATCTAGACCACAAAGTCAAGACATTCTGACTTGCCTGTCATTTTGTCAAGTTGGAGTCACACGACACACTTAATGCTGTTGTTGAATTAACCCATCTTGGAGGATTGTACACAACACTGAACCCTGAAGGTACCAGAGAGAGACTCTGTACAAAATTATAAGCCACCAAAAATAAATGAATAAAAACTAATAACGCTGTGCAGTTTTCATTATTTAACTGACTTGGGTAGGCGGGGTTGAGAAAGACAACACTCTGCTCTCTCTCCTGCATACAGATCAGAACAGACTTGAGGGAATCTATCTCTGTAATTTCAAATTACACCCATTTGTTAGAGTCTTACCTTTACAATTCCAAGAATTCTGAGCCCAAGGATTTGTTTCAGCCAACAGAAGTGAACCACAGCAAGCAGCGGCAACTTGAAGAGTTGCGAAATTGGGAAAAGAACAACATTTGATTGACATGTCTTTCTGGGAAAGTGATCTTTTTGCACCAGAATTCACCAAAAATTGATTACCTCAAGCTAGTGCTTGGCAAGATAGGGACATATTTTATTTATTTGTTTGTTTGTTTAATTTCTATAGCTGCCCATCTCAGCCAAGTGACTCTGGGCGGCAAACAATTCTAAAACAATGCAAAACAATGCAAAAATAAATATATACAGCAGCTGAGAAAATTATCATAATAATCATCAAGATAGGCAAGAGACAGGGCCCTTAACATATTCAGGGCCCAGGCACATAGTCAGGTCTTTAAAGTCTTACGAAAGGGCAACAGGGTTGGGGCCATCCTAATCTCTGAAGGGAAGATGTTCCAAAGGGCAGGGGTACAGCAGAGAAGGCGGGTCTCCTGGTCCCCGCCAGCCAACATTCCTTGGCTGACGGGACCTGCAGCATGCCCAACCTGCTGGACTGAATTGGACAAGTAGAAACTGTTGGGAAAAGATGGTCCCTCAGGTAACCCAGTCCCAAGCCATGGAGAGTTTAAAGGTGACAATTGTGAAGGAATGGTTGGATGAAGGCCGTGCTCGAGGAGATAAACATTCCCTTAGCCCTCAACAGGAGCGTGGGAAGTTTA